TTGAGCACATGATAAAAGCGAGAGCACACAAGGGAGGGGTGAGGATAGGTAAGACACCTAAAAAACTAGCTAGCATTTGTTGCCCTTAATGCAGAGAAACTAAAGCAGATACCTTAAAGCAACTGAGGCCAATAGGAAAAGGGGACCAGGAACTAGAGAAAAGTTTAGATCAAAAAGAATTAACCTAGAAGGTAACACACACGCACAGGAAATCAATGTGAGTCAATGCCCTGTATAGCTATCCTTATCTCAACCAGCAAAACCCCTTGTTCCTTCCTATTATTGCTTATACTCTCTCTACAACAAAATTAGAGATAAGGGCAAAATAGTTTCTGCTGGGTATTGAGGGGGGGAGCGGGAGGGGGTGGAGTGGGTGGTAAGGGAGGGGGTGGGGGCAGGGGGAGAAATAAACCAAGCCTTGTATGCACATATGAATAATAAAAGAAAAATGAAAAAAAAAAAAAAAAAAAAGACTTCAGGTTCTAGAGGAGGAGGAGGAGGAGGAGGAGGAAGAGGGGTTTGTATCTGGCTCTGTACTTCCTGGACATGTCATTGCTATGGACTGAATTGTGTCCCCCCTAAAATTCACACATTAAAGCCCTAACTCTCTTCCCAATTCAGAGCACAAAAGAAAGGTCATGTGCGGTCACAGTGAGAAGGAGGCCATCTACAAGTCAAGGAACCAGCCCTCAACAGACAACAGAACCTGCTGGCACCTGGAACTTGGGCTTTCCAGCCTCTAGAACTGTGAGAAGATAATTTCTACGGTTTAAGACATGCAGTCCATAGTATTTTGTTGTGGTGACTGAGAGTCACCTGGGAAAGCTTCCAACACCTCACAACCAGTCTACTCCTCCAGTAGAATGGGAGTGAGAGCATCCTGGATAGCATTGGGGTGCATTCAATGAAATACCTTATAAAAAGCCCATGGCACAATACCTGTCCTTCACAGCTGTTCAATAAAGGACAATTACTATGAGAACAACCGGGCAAGATGCATAGAAAGACCAATGGAAGGACTGCCGCCATACCACCCGGATCGCCTAATCTTGGAAGGGTCAGGGTTGAGCCTGGTTAGTACTTGGATGGGAGAAAGACCAATGGGACAGAGCAGATAACCCGGGAACACCTCAGCAATCTTAGAAGCTCCTGGAATGAGGAAAGGGTATATGTTTTTATTCACCATTGTGTCATCCCCTCCCCAAGCCTAACACAAGAGTGGTACACAGGAGGTGCTTAAAAATACTTACGACACAAAGAAAAAAAGAAAAATACTTATTGATTGTCTGAATTAGAATTTAATACATGCCAAGGAAGGACTCATACAGCAGCAGTGTAAGAAATGACTATTTTTTTGGCGGTACTGGGGTTCGAACTCGTGGCTTTGAGTTTGTCTAGGCAGGCACTCTACCACTTAAACTACACCTCCAGCCCTTTTCTGCTCTGATTATTATTGTTATTATTTTGTGGCACTGGCACTTGTACTCAAGGCCTACACCTTGAGCCACTCCACCAGCCTTTTTTTGTGATGGGTTTTTTCAAGATAGGGTCTCTCCAACTATTTGCCTGGGCTGGCTTTGAACCACTATCATCCCCTTCTCTACCTCCTGAGAAGCTGGAATTACAGACATGAGCCACTGATGCCTGGCATACTCTGATTATTTTTGAAGATAGGGTCTCACTTTTGCCCAGGCCAGCCTGGACTGCAATCCTCCTATTCTAAGCTTTCCACTATGGCTGGGGTGACAGCTTTGCCCCACCATGCCCAGTTATTAGTCGAGATGGGATCTCACAAGTTTTTTGCCCAGGCTGGCCTTAAATGGTGATCCTCAGGATCTTAGCCTCCTAACTAGCTAGGATTACAGGCATGAGCCACCGGCACCAAGATAGGAATATTCTTTGATGCTGAGAAAATTGCTTAAATTTTTGGCTTAAAAAATCAGATTTTATTATTTTGTCCTATAAAGAGGTTTGCAAACTCTTTTGACCATGACCCCACAGTAAGAAATATGCCCAGAAACTAGTCATAAATATAAATTTATACTTAAAGCAGAGTTTCATAAATGAATATTTATTGTATTATGTCAGATGGGCTATTCTATTCTATTTGTCCTATTCATCGGATCCTATTTTATTACAAAGAAAATTCTAGTCTCTACCTAGTAAATCGTTCTTATAACTCACTGATGTGTAGTCGCCAGCAGTTTGAAGAGTACTACTTTATACCAAAAATAATTTCTCATTTTAAAAAAGAAAAATATATATAAGTAAGCAATATTGAGGTCCTAAGGAAGAAGGTCTTAAGATTTTCTTAAAAATGGAAAAGGGTCAGACACAAAGGTCAATAAGTTTGACCACATGAAGGTCCCTGGTACAGGGACCACACATGGAATAGCGGGGATTGCTACTGGGCTGAGAAATCTAAAAAAACACTAGTCCAGAAGATCCCAAGTTCTTGTGTCACCTGACAGAGACACAATTTGCAACACAGTAGTAAAACTTTATTGAAAGAAAAGGGAAGAGAGAGTTAAAAGGAAGCACCCAAGAGAAAAAGCAGTGGGCTCCTGCCAAGTGGTATGGAAGCATTGATCTCTTTGTGTAAAGATCAACTTGTAAATTGTAAGGCTGGAAAAATCTGGGCAGTGTTTAGGAAGGATCTAGGGTGGCTGACATGTTTAATTAGCACAGTCACCACACACACACAACAAGGGGTATTCTGTGCATGTGCTTATGCTAATTTCCAAGCCTTTAATTGTATGTGTGAGATGTGAGCAATATTCACAAGGTCTTCAGTAGAAGACTTTGCTTGAGAAGTCAGATTGGGGCAGACCTCCCTTTTACTAGGCAATTAGGCAAATCTGGCTTACAGTCATCCTTTGGACACTTAACTTGCAAAGATATTTACTGTCAGGGGATGTACAACTTGAGAGGATGACTGAACTCAGGACTGAACTTAGATGTGGACATGGCTGGAGGTTACAAGGCCAGTTATTCTCACACCTCTTTGTTCCTCATGCTACCCACATGGAGCAAGTCCTGTGGAAGCCACCTCCATTGGTGCCCTCTGTTCCCTTCCAGAGCCAGATCTTAATCCAGACCATCCTGTTTCACTGCTCCTACAGCTGCAAGAGCAATCTTTTTGAAGCAAGAAACACTTGTTCACAAGTGGAAGAAACACTTGTTCACACTCTCTTTAACATAAAATCCAAACTCTTCACCATGGCCTCAAGGCCTGCCCAGCCTGGATCCTGCCACCTCCAGTCTCATCACCTACTCGTCCTCTGGGCTTTCCTGCGTGGACCACAGTGTCCGTGAAGGTCCATGCCCCACTTCATCTCAGCTTCAGAGTCACCTGCACCCAAGCAGAGTTGTCACTTCTTGGTGTTTTATCAAAACGTCTAAATGTTTACTATTTGTTTGCTTACTTCCTGCTCATCCCCTCCTCCCCAGACTATGAACTCCTTGAGGGCAGGGACCAGTCTTCCTAACTGTAGCACCTTCAATGCCTAGCACAGTGTCCAGCACCTCAGAAGTGTTCAGTAAATGCCTTCTGAAGACAAGAGCAAGAGGGGCTCCTACTTGGGCCTGGCTTTACAAGGCCCTGCTCTGGCTTTCCCCTTTCTTAGGGAGGATAGAAAATATGCCACCAAGAAATCCCTCCCTCCATCTCTCTCTCTCTCTCTCTCTCTCACACACACACACACACACACACACACACACACACACACACACACACACACACATCTTGGATTGGATTGGGGAATTCTTTTCCCAGTCGCCCTCAGTTCACTTCCAGAGCCATTATGGGTTTCTTCCCCAGGATCCTTACCGCAGTGGTAGATATAAGTCACCTCTGCGTGTATCCCTAGGCCTGTCAGATGGCCAAAGGTGGCCATTGGTAGACTGAGGGTAGAGCTTGGATGTGCTAGTCCACACACACTCACAAAGCCCTTTTGAGGAAGGGAATGGAGGAGTGGGATTAGAAGAGGACAGACAGGCCTCCCAAACCTTGACATGTTAGACAGAAACTCTGGGGGGTCCAAGAATTCTAGATCTCAGTTGGGGCTTCCTGGTTGTCTTGAAGGTGTATTTGCCAAGGTTGGCATAGGCCATATTTGATTTAGTAGTCTCTTCATAACTCTTAACTACTTGGTCCATAGGCCTCCAGCTGTGCTCTTGTCTTGGCTTTTGGCAGGGATAAGGCTGAGTGGGTGGACAGTGAGGTGCTTCCCTCCAGGTTGGTCAGGGATCTCCCTCCTAAGGATGGGGGCAGGCCTTGGACTCACAGACCATGGGAGCTTGAACCTGAATTGAAACTTGACCCTAAAGTCTTTGAAGCTTTGCTGGAAATGTGGAGGAAATGAAAAACTGTTATTTCAAAGCTGTGTGAATCCATTTTCATTCTAGGAAAACTGCTGGTGGGGACTTTTATTTATGTAAATGTAAATATAGAGCAGAGCTCTGGAGGTGACTGTGTGTGGCCATGGGGCTCCCTGGAGTGGCACTTCCCTGTTAGATCTTGATAGAGGCCTGTGTGTGGGCAGGTCATGCTTCCCTTCAACATGCTTACATTTAAATACAATTTATACAATTACCATTCAGTGAACCATTTCCATGTGCCAGATACTATAAGCCCTTTTCATGGATTGTCACATTTAGTCTTCCTAATGCTTGATATTAATTTTTTTTAATGGGCAAACTAAGGTGCATAGAGTTTAAGTAACTTGTGCAGAGTTCATGCAATTAGTAGATGGCAGAGCTGGGATCTGCTTGTCTATTTGCTCCAGGACCTGCTGCACTCATCTC